AGCAATTAAAAAGTTCCTTTTAAAACCCCTATTCTATCCCCTTACGTGGCACTTGTCATTTTCTGCTAATTAGTTATTTTCATGTGTGTCTTTTAAGAATTTGTAATGCTTCCAAAAAGAATCCTCTCTTTTTGTATCCCTCATAGCATCTACTAGACTGGGTAACATAGTAACACAGTATTTCAGTAACTACCCCTATACAACAAACCAGCCTAAACTTCGTGAGTAAAAACCCAACTGTTTTCAAATTATTATTTCTTACCATTCCAGGGATCCATGTGGTGGTTCTCGCATGGGGAACTCTCCTATGGCTGCAGACGGGACACGCCTGGAGCCTCCCTCCCTCCATCTCTGGAGGTGGCTTGGACTGGTGCCTGGGCCCCAGTAGGGCTGTGGGCCAGCACACACATGCCTGGCTTCTCCAGGTGGCTGGGCTCCAAGAGCAAGTGTCCTGAGCGCGCCAGGCTGCTGCTGGGTCACCTTTCAGGCCAAGCTTTGGAAGCCATGCAGCATGACTCTGCCACATTCCATTCGTCCGAGTTCAATCCTGAAGGCCGGCCCATGTTCCAGGGAGGGGAATGTAGGCTCTACCTCTTGAAGGGAGGACTGTCACAAGAATTTTCAGATCCTGCATAAAGTAAGTGCTAACTAAGTGCCTGTTGAAGCATTAAATGTGTTGAACAAGCCTCAGAAGGAAATACTAGTCAGGGTGACCGGCTGGTTCCTGTGATCTCCCCTCTCTGGGAGGAACTTGAATAGACAGAGGTCGCTATGTTCTTACAGGACCTCGGCCCTCTGGCCAGGTGAACCCGAGACTGACAAGGTTAATCAGTTCTTCCACAGACAGTTAGAAATGGAAATAAAGTGATTTTCCTCCTCCTAGGGGTGAAGGAGAGGATGTGAAGCTCTGGAGTCCCCAGGCATGTGAGGAGTCAGTCTCCAGGAGGGGTAAAGGCAGCATGCAGAGGAACTCCGTGATAATCCAGTCCCGGTGAGGCTCAGAGCAGACCGCCTTCTCGGGTCTGCCTTCTGGGGGGGGGTGGGGGGGGGTATGTGAGATGTCACATCCCTCCAGCAAATCCCTCTCTTGGCCTAAATCTGTCCTAGTTGGGTTTCTATCATTTGACACTTGAAAGTTCTGACTCACGTGGGGTGGGGAGGAAGAGGGAGCCTCCTCCTGGAAACGCAGTCCACACTGTGATGGCAAAGTGAGAGAGAAATTCAGAGCGATTACTACCCAGGCCTCCAGGACCTGCAGTGGGGATATACTGTCCATCAGGTCGTGCTGAAGGTGTGCTTATAGCAAAGTGGACAGACCACTGAGAGAGAAGATTGAAGGAAGACTGAGAAAAGCTTCAACCTATTTAAATAGGAGGGGAAAATAGAAAAGAGAGACAAGAGGGTCTGCGGGTTGAAACTGGACAGTGTTGAAAGAAAGTGAAAAGGAACTGTTACCCCAAAAAGACATCTGCTACTAACAGAAGGGAACAGGGTCGTCCAAGGCTAATGTAACCCCCGGGCCTGAGTGGAGGTTGAAAACGAGCCAGGCAGAGTTCTGCCCAGCATAGGACAAAAGGCTGACTTCCTCTATGTGCCAGGCGCTGTATGATGTGCTTTACATGTGTGACCTTAGTTAAGGACCCCTAGGTGTCCTACATGGTTCCTGCCAGCTGTCCCTGAAACTCTAGCACAGGAGAGGACCACAGAGCATGGGTCATATCACACGAGCCGCCCACACAGGCCCCTGACCGGTGTTCCTCGGGCAAACCCAGAATCCTCTGAAGTCTCCGAGGCTGCAAGCAGCCCAGGCAACAGGAATGATGGGACCACCTTTCCGTGTTCGAGGTAACTGAATTTTTAATGATTGGTTTCTTAGTCACACCTTCATCGATTATCGATCCCATTATTCAAAAGTATACACAGTTAAATTAACCCAGACATTTCAAAGCACATTTCCAAAAGAGTGAAAATTTTGCACTGAAAGAAAAAGAAAGAGACTGGTGACCAAGATGTACTGTCCATGAACGGAAAGACTCTATCTATGCAGCAGATACACATGCAGGCAGGGCAGGCGGCAGCAATGAGGTACTGAAGACACTGCCTCTGTGATAAATGCCCTCGGGGAGGAGACATGACAATGAAGTAATGAGGCTGATTCCATGCAGAAGAATTGCACACCGATCTCATTATAGCCATACCTTGTGGGATGTTTATAAAATATTTCTTTCACAAGTTAAAACAGTATCTGTTACAGATGGATTTAATTTTGGTAAAATCAATGAAAAAAGTTGTATGTTAATGCAACATTTGTTGTAAAGATTCCAAAAACACATGAGTCAAAAATTCAAATTACGATTCTCACAGTAACTGTGACTGTGCTATACAACATACATAATGGAAGAAATGTTACCCACATACACCACTGTAAAAAACACCCAGTAAGCAGAAACAAGCTGAGTTATGTTTGTTGTGGGAACCATCGTTCTCAACTAGCGAGGATATATAAAAAATGAAATCATAAATGCGTGCATTATTTTATGTACTTAATTCGAATTTTTCTTGATCCAATTTAATCAGCTTTGCATCCAAACTACATTTACCTTTCATAAACTGCAAATGAATGTCTTTCATAATTTGCGAATCTGCATCGTTTGGTTTCCTTTACTCACACAGGCTGCCTTTGCAGAATGGCATCAATATTCCCCGCCTCTCCCCCCAAAGGTCACGATGTGCCTGCCGGGATCCATTTCTCTACATCCCTTTCCTCCCTGAAGAACACCGTAGGGGAGGGTAAAAACACCAAAGAGACAAGAATCACATTGAGTAGCTTAGAAAGGTAAATAAGTGCAACAGAAAAGAGGGCACCGGTACCGTTACCTTCCCCTTAGCAACTTCCTAAGCAAAAATGAGACAAATAACACCACCATATAGTTAGTTTCCAAAGTGATTAGTCATAACATTATCTCATCTGATCCTCACAACAGAGAGACAAAAAGAAAACACGTTTTGGTTGTTTAGCTCTTTGTGACTCCAATAGAATATATTTAAGGGTGTGCTTTTATGTTAGCATTTAGAGTCTGGGCCATTTAATTGCACTTACAATATTACCCACTTACCATATGCAGAGAAGGTACTTATTATTGAAAGCAGAGTATACTTTAAGCAAAAAGATCATGGTTATGAGCTAAATACTTAACATATTTTAACTTTAACATATTCTGAAAATTCAATAATGAAACAGAAAGAGCTAAACCTGCCCTTTGCAACTCGGCCTGGACAAAATGAATCCTGTGCATTACATCCAACACTTCTTGTCCCAGTTTGGTTTTAACTAAGAAGGGCAGCTAGCACAACCTCTGAAGAGGAATCCTTTTACTTCCCAGCAGTCTTTGCCATCAGGGCTTGATTCATTCCATTTAAACCGAATTACTCTGATTCAAGAACAGTCACATTTCCTCTAAGTAGCCCCACCCCACCAGGTCATGACCTGGGGTGTGCAAGGGGTGAAATGGTCAAACTTCTTTGTCTATTAGCACTACTATAATTGGTTATTAGAATTTAGGTCTCCCCCGACCCCCACCCCCTCCTACGTACAGAAGGATCCTTTTCCACATAATGAGGTAAAATTTTCCCTTCTTCATCTTTCTAGTGCACCAAAGACCAATTAAAATGAAGATCCAGAGCTGGCAGGAAGCTTCAATATCACTTGTTCTAACCTGGGAGAGAACACAGTTAATCCTCTGCTTGTGAAAAGTACGACCACTTTGCATATAATTAGAGGGTAATAACTGAGTGCTAAAAGGAAAACAAATCCTAAGAAAGGGGCTTATTGTGGAGAAAGAGTTGTCTTTTTAATGTTACCTACCATATACAACAGACCTTGCAATGAATAATGATTGACACATAAGTTTTTGGATAAAACATATAATCACATGATCTCACTCATTTGTGGAATATAATGAACAACATAAACTGATGAACAAAAACAGATCCAGAGACAGAGAAGCATCAATCAGACCATCAAACCTCAGAGGGAAGGTAGGGGAGGATGAGGGTAAGGGGGAGAGATCAACCAAAGGACTTATATGCAAGCATATAGGCCTAACCAATGAATACAGACAACAGCGGGTTGAGGGCATGAGTAAGAGGGGATAGGGGGTAATGTGGGGATAAGGACACATTTGTAGTAACTTAATCAATAAAAAAATTAAAAAACAAACAAACATAAAATCCAAATAGGTATTCCATGGGACATGAATATGCAACTTTCAGGGTTTTCCCCCCTTATCTGTGAAGAAACAATATCTGGGGCTGACAGCAACGCATATTCTGAATACTATTTCCAGTTATTAGAAGGTATGAAGCTGGCAGGTAAATGATGGAGATAATGGGCTCTTGGATCTTGTCAGAGACCAGAAAAGGGGCTATTTACTTACTGCCTTATGTGATAAGCCAGTCAGATGTAAAGGCAGGGCTATAAGCGTAAATCCTCCATACAGTCCATTCACTTTATGGGACTGTCGCAGGAAAACTATGGATCCGGCCAGTGGGCAAGGTTTATCTTAAACAGAATGAAACAACCGCTCTTTCAATAGGGAAAAGGAAGCCGCAGTGGTCAATTCTAGATGATCACAGAATGAATGAATGCTTAGAAGTATAAAATGGTTGTTTCTCTTGAGCAGTCAATATGTGAAATTCCCAAAGGTCTTAAGCAGTGGTTCTCAAACGTCTGGCCCTTTAAATACAGTTCCTCATGTTGTGACCCAACCATAAAATTATTTTCGTTGCTACTTCATAACTGTAATGTTGCTACTGTTATGAATCATAATGTAAATATCTGATATGCAGGATGGTCTTAGGCGACCCCTGTGAAAGGGTCATTCGACCACCAAAGGGGTCGAGACCCACAGGTTGAGAACCGCTGGTCTTAAGTTTTCCAGATAAACTGACAGCAAATAAGGTCTTAAAGACTGTCAGTACCATAGATTAAGAAACTAATGTTTCATATTTACTTAAAATTAAAGCTACAGAATTCCATGAGTGACTGACAGTAAAATATTCACATATTAAAGAATGAACCAAAGGACAATTTTGGGAACAAGGTAAGAGGTCCAACAAAAGAACACTGTTAAATAAATTACAGTACATTCATAAAATGGGTGCTCTGCAGCCATTCCCAATGTGTTCTTGCAGAATTTCCAAGGAGAGGCAAATGGTTGATAACATATTGTGAAATGAAAAGTGAGATTACAAAATGGTTCTATACAATCTCTATTTTAGACCCGCAAAAATAAGTACATAGAAAAAAGACTGGGAGAACATACCCAAAACTACGATCAGAAATTAGCTCTGCTGGTGAGAATTTAATGTCCGCTTTTTTCTTTTCCAAATGAAAAGGGGCTAACGGGAAATTCTTTCTTTTTCAAAATGAGTCAATAAGTATATTCTGACCTCTTTGTCCCATTTTTTTAATAACACACCAAAGAAAAACATGAAAATATATTTAGCGGCATTTAACACTTACATTAACAATTATTTTTCTTTAAGTTAAAAAACAATAGTGCACCAAATTTAGTTTCCTTATATTTTTTGCCAATTCACACAAGAGCAATGAATTTTTAAAAAGATATGACATCAATTTTTATCCAAGATTGTAGTCTTCCATGCAGTCCTCTTTATGCATCATCGCGCCTAGAAAATGAACTTCATGTGCTTGATTCCGTAAGTTTTGAAGAAAACCATGATGATGAGTGCCCACAATCCCAGAATAAAACCCCCAGGAGGATGCCAATCTTTCAGCTTTGGTTTCTGCAAAATAAGGATGACATCACATGGTAAATTTAACAAGAGGCAAAGAGTTCAACAATGGGTAAAGCAAATACTAACAGAAAACAGACATTTCACAAGCTGTGTTTTAAGGGGGAGTAATTTAGCCAAATTAAATGTCTTAAGATAGAAACAATGGTGAAGACTTCAAACCAGATAAATATCTCAAGGTGGCTCTTATCAACATCAGTTTCAAATGATATTTTGTTCCCTCAAAGGGGCCTTCCCTGACCACCCTACCCAACCATCTCCATTCAGACAGGTTATTCAGTAGCCTGACAGTCCTCATTTTGAATTTACATGTTCATGAGTTTGTTGGTTTCATCTGTCTCTCCTATTAGACAATAGCTCTATGAGGGTCATCTTGTCATATTCCCAGCACCAACCTGCACAGTGCCTGGCACATGGGAGATACTCATTCAGTACACTAAGTCAGTAGAAAACAAAAGCTACCCAATCCATTTATCTTAACATTCAACAAATACTTGTTTGGGGGCCAGTGCCTTTGGCCATGTTACTCCCTTGAGTTAGAATGCTCCTTACTCCACTGTGCCTATTCAAAACGCACTAACTCAAATGCCAACTCCTCCAGATTTTCCCAGCTGATATATGCTTTTCTTTTCATCTGTAGCTCCTTCTACTTTTACTTCTATCTATTATCACAGTTATCTTTATTGCTTATCTCCCTATAAACTTCCAGGGCTCAAATTCTGTCTGAGTCCATTTTACATCCTCTTCTCCATCCCCTACGCCTCAACACTAAGCCAAGTGTCTTGTATGTTTCCTTGCCCAACAAGGACAGGCAAACCAGTCTTCCTCATTTAACTGTCTTTCAACAGCTGCACTATGGCCCTGAAATTGGAGGTCTGTGAGTGACTGTGATCTCTTTATGAGTTCTACTTCATGAATTACTAACTAAGATTGTAAGGTTGTTATGATGAGAATCATATTTTAGACTAGAGTGGCGAGATTGTAATCTGAACTTTGCTTCAGTCATCATGTAAACTCCATCCAACAAACGTTCAAAAATCTCTTAGAACAGGGGTCCTCAAACTTTTTAAACAGGGGGCCAGTTCACTGTCCCTCAGACCGTTGGAGGGCCGGACTATAGTTTAAAAAAAAACTATGAACAAATTCCTATGCACACTGCACATATCTTATTTTGAAGTAAAAAAACAAAACAGGAACAAATACAATATTTGTATTTGCATGTGGCCCGTGGGCCGTAGTTTGAGGACCCCTGTCTTAGAAGAATCCACATCTTATGGTTTGGTTTTCCCTTATATAACCAGGACACTTAACCTCTTCACTTTTAGTAGTGCACGTTAAGAAATGTGGTGTTGTTGTTTGTTTGTTTTTTATACTTCATCTCTTTAAAGTGCCCCCAAACCGGGCATATGGAGCATGGTAGCAGATGATCCTAGTTTAGCCTAGCAAAACCACATTGATGCCTGCATGCCAATCACTGGGAAATGTGTAACCACCTATTCTTCAGATGCAGATCTGAGAAGATTGTTCAAACCTAAGTAATCAGTGAGAGGCATCCACCTGTTCTGTTGGCAAACACCAACAGTGCTCTAAGGGGGGGCGGGGGGAAGGTAAGGTTCAGGAGTAAAAATACGCCCACACAGAGAAAGAAATATTCTAAAGATGCAGAGAACATATCTCTGAATAAGATTTAATAAGGAAGCAAAAGATAATTTAGAAAAATTTTAGTTGAGATGGACTTGAATAAAGATGGACAAGGAAAGGAAAAGATGCACAAGGAACCAAAATATATTTTTCTTAATGTTACAGAGAGAAAAATAAAACAAGATACAAGGACAACAGGCTAGATACAAAGAGAGGTGGGTAACATAATTTTGTAACAGCAAATTAAAATCTACATTGACGAAAAAGATAGTGTCCTAAGGACATCATTGAGTCCTTCTTTCACTTAATTGTGAAAGACTGTGGCAAAAAACAACAACAACACCCCAATTCTCCATACTTCCCTGCGTCTACAGCCTTTGCAATACGTTGCTTTATAGCAGCTCTCATCAAGAGGTGGAATCTATCACCCAACCGGCGTGGCTCTGTGGTTGAGCATCGTCAACCTCTGAACCAAGAAATCACGGTTCAATTTCCCTGTTAGGGCACATGCCTGGGTTGTGAGCTCAATCCCCAGTTGGGGAGCATGCAGAAGGCAGCTGATCGATGATTCTCATCATTGATGTTTCTATCTCTCTATCCCTCTCCCTTCATCTCTGAAATCAATAAAAATATATATTTTTTGGAATATATCCACTGAGATGACAATGTGGAAGGAAAAACCCTAAAATTTTATTTTCATAAGAAAATTAAGTTGCATACTTGTAACCTCGGGTTTCTGAAACAATGGTATAAATACTGGTAAGAAGAGTGTGAAGGGCAGCTAATCAACCCCTTGACCACCATGAACTTTGTTCAGGTCGGAGGAGGTCTGTCAAGATACTCCTCTCTGACCCTTCTAGAATAAGAAATACTCATTTGAGCTAAATTTCACAAAGTAAGAACTTCTTCAACCACCTGTCGCATCCTAACAGTGTTTACAGCCAGCCTTTGATAGAGCTGTCCAGGAAAAATACTGCTGTACTGTCTCCTGGAGGTAAATTTCACACATGTCTTTCCCATCCAACCCCCTCACTTTAAAGGAACTGCAGGGATGCTCACTTCTGGCTCTTGCCTATAGTCTTCCTGGAAACAGACCAACTCCACTTGTCACCATGCCAGGAATCGCTCTCAAGGAAATGAAGTGGGGGGATCTAGAGACTAACTCCCCTAGCTTCCCTCTATCCTTCCTCCTCCCAACTGCAATCTAGGTCGGAGGCCTCCTTCCTTTCCATTTGAAGTTAGCCATTTATGTCATTCAGATGTTGCCCCCTTCTGGAGAAATGAACATCTCCCAGGATCTTGATGCACCTTACCCATGGTAAATTTGCAAAGCAATTCATCTAATCTAGGATAATTAACAATGATTTGTTTTTAACTGTGATTTTATTTTTAATAGAAAGTTGACCATGATTTTTCCTTAATCATGACCTTTTTTTTCTGTGATAAGAACACCCACTATTAACATTATTAATATGGCTCTGGAATTTCTGGCCAATTCAGATATAACATTTAGGGAGGAGAAGTAAATTCTCATTATTTGCAGATAGTTTGATTAGTTATCAAACAACTCAAAATAAACTTATAATTATTGATATTAAAGAGCTCAGACTTAAGATAAACATATTTTAAAAACCGTCCCAATATGCCAGTAAAAACAAGTAAAAAAAATAGAAAAAATTACAGTTGCAATAGCAATAAGAAATATTAAGTAGCATGAGATATAAGGCAAACAATCTGTATTACTCTATAGAGAGGGGTAAATAGTCCTGAATATAAAAAGGAATATGATAAAGCCAATCTATAATGTTGTTCTGATGCAAAATACATCAATGAAACAGAATAGAAAGTAGGCGATCAGCCCAGTATCCAAGAATTCAGTATACAATAAAAACTATTACAAGCCAATAGGCAAGGTGTTCTAACAAAGGATTAACATTTGGGGGGAAAAAAATCAGTTTTGTTTCTAACCCAACACTATAAACCAAAATATACTTTACATGACTTAGAATTAGATGAAAAAATATTAGATGGGGGGAAATTTTTTTTAATTACTTTTGTAAAGTGGCACCTACGGACACATCATAATGGGGCTACGTTAATCGCAAAGGTGGAGAGCAGTTACACAGGAGCTCATGTGGAGAGAAGAACAGGGGTCCAAGGGCCAGCAAGCTGGGGGGACTGTCAGGTGGGTGGCTACTCAGGAAGGACTACTTGGGAAAGCTGGCTCTTGAACGAGGTATCGAGGTATCGTAATTGGGTTGGTGAAGAGGAGGGGATCACACCCAGGCAGTGGCACATGGAGCAAAGTCATGGTGATGAGAAAAGCCAGGCATTGGGAAAAGGGTGATGCCCCAGCCTGGGCTGGTGCAGGAAGGTAATAAAAGCTCCACGAGGGTAGAAACTGGCATCCTCTTTGTTCACTGCAGAAGCCAAGACCCTGGCACTTAGGAAACCCTGTTGAAAGTAGCAAGTTTGGGCCATGGAGAGTCATTCTGTGAATGCCCAGCTGTGTGTTGGGATTTGAGACAATGAGAAGCCTTGAACCAGTGACTAACCACAGGCAAATGGGGTGAAGATATAAATTGTAGGAGAATATGCACAGTAAAGGAAGTCATAAGTTTAAAAACAATGAATAAAAACAAGGAAGAAAAGGTGAAAATATTTTTATAAAAAACTTTTGAAAAGATCTACATTTTGCAAAATGGATAAGTCAAATGAAAAGGTAAATAAATAGGATAATATGACAGAAAGGGGGTTGAATTCAGTACATGAATATTTCCCAAAAATTAATATGAAAATATACAAAGATTTATCAATAAATGGGAAAAGAAAAGAAAATTGTTGAGAAAGGAATAATTATGAGTGGCTAATTAATATTAGAAAAAAATCAGTTTTCCTGGTCACAAAAACAAATTAAAAATGATATATTATTTCTTTCTCTTTTTAAAATTAAACTAGTAAATGTTATTAAGGATGGTCTACTTTTCAGGAAAGTAATCTATTAACATGTTCAGAGGTCTTTAAAATGTTCTTACTTATTCACTTCTGGGATCTATTATACTCCTAGCTAGGACCTATATTAAAAAACTCAGAAATGGTGACAAAAATTTAACAAAAAGACTTTCTTCTCAGTGTTATTTATAAAATAAAAAAAAAAAAACAGAAAATAATCTATATCAGCGGTTCTCAACCTGTGGGTCGCGACCCCTTTGGGGGTCGAACGACCCTTTCACAGGGGTCGCCTAAGACTATCGGAAAACACATATATACAGTGGGGTCTTGACTTACGAGTTTAATTCATTCCGTGACGGAGCTCATAACCCATGCTCAGCACTTTCTCCCACAGCACC